CTCAAATGTTGCGCGCGACACATTATCTCAATATGGTGATCATTTCTGTGAAATATTTTTAAAATCCGACTTCAAATAATGAAGTTATGGACCGGACACGATTTAGCTGCAAGGTCATGCTGTGACCTTGACCTTCAAGGTAGCGACCCAAATGTTGCGCGCGACACGTCGTCTCAATATGGTGATCATTTCTGTGATATAGTTTTAAAATCCAACTTCAAATAACAAAGTTATTGGCCGGACATGAATTCGTACGTATGTACGTACGTACGTTGCTGCAAGGTCATGCTGTGACCTTGACCTTCAAGGTAACGACCCAAATGTTGCGCGCGACACGTCGTCTCAATATGGTGATCATTTCTGTGATATAGTTTTAAAATCCGACTTCAAATAACAAAGTTATGGGCCGGACACGAATTCGTACGTATGTACACGTACGTACGTACGGACGGACGGACAACCCGACGACTATATGCTCCCCCGAAATTTTTCGGGAAGCATATAAACGCAGATTAATAAAGGGTTCATATATCAAAAATAACAGTATGATTATCAGAAGTGGCCATGTATATGATTTTGGCGACAGCACAGTCATTGTGATTAAAATCAGTCTATATATAAGAATCAAGTTAAACGAAAAAATAGTTTCGACACCATTGACATATTTACCTATTATCGAGAAACCGATAGCTATTAATGTATTTGGTTTCATGTAGTCATGGTATTGCTGAACAACCGCAACGTTGTCAGAAAACACCCTGATGGCCTTAATAAAGATAACATTATAAACTTGAACAGATATAAGTTGATTAAAATTGCTACACGAACAATTAGGTTATACACAGTCCGATTTACTCAGATTTATATTGATTTATATGTACACTGAACAAAAGTTCTAACCGATCACCCTGAGTTTTCGCTTATATATGAAAAAGAATAAAACCAATAGATCCGACTTTTATTTTATTTCGAAGAGAATGAACACATTGAGAATAATAAAATTATAACATTTTCTGTTTAAATAATACTTTATCGATATTTAAAAAAAAATATTGTTATGAACAGCCACTCACCTGTCTGATAGAGGCTCCAGCATTCAACATTCCAACTGCTACGGCACGATCCTGCATCGACATTCGTGCCATGTTTTATGTTTTTTCACTTATAAAGTTAACAAGGATTTATGCAATGTAAAATTTAATACTCACCACGCTCTGCACGAACATTTCGTGCCAAAATGTGTAAACCGCGCCCTGTCTCCCGCGTGAGTGCATGGAACCGTATTAAATTATTTTTCTTTCAACAAATCGGTAGGAAATGACACAAAAATCACCTTGGCAAAATTTTATAAGGATCTATTGACCCGTTATAAAATAATCAAAATTTAAAAAGTGATCGTTTAGAACTTTTGTTAAGTGTATTTAAAGCAGTATTTTAATCTACTTTGTCATTATTGAAAAATCTTTAATATATATGTTCAATCTCCAATCCATGAGATACATAATGTAGCAATAAAAGGTAATGGACGGTGTACTCTTTTTTCGGTCGAAGTGTGAGACAACTTCCTCTCATCTAGAAGTTCAAATCCACATCTTTCAGATAATTTGCTTGTATATTCAGAGAAATCAGACAGACTAACGATTGTGTTTTCTGGTGTAATTGGATATTTGTCGCGACACACGTGCAACTCAACCGGTATCTCCAAAGCTCCAGTGAATATGTACCCTTTATGTGCGTCAGGCTATCAAACCGAGCCTGCAACATTTTCAATTATGCCGTGTTGGGCTTTCTTTAGGGATTCTGTATTTATCTATTTTTATATATCCATAATGTTAATGTCTGTCTCATTCATAACTTGATAGGAGAAGCCATAAGAAGGCAGCGCAAAGTCAGCCATAACAAATGCGTATTGGTTTTAACAATCAACAAAATGAATGTAACTCGGCGGCAAGTTTGGGATGAAATCGCCCATGTCTGGATTATAAGCCCTGGTAATTCTTGGACATCCAACATGTATCATCCCACCACGAATTCCGTGTAAAATCTTCTAATGCATCGATTCGTCTCGAATAAATTCAATGATCAAATCTATGTGGTGAAGGCAGACGTCCCAACTAAATCCAGGTAAAGAATAGTACCAAACACAGTCTTAACCAAATTACTGCATTGGCGTGTCTCAAATTTTTTCCTCAACATCAGCATACACCAGACACTGGCGATTCAAGATTTGTTTGTTTGTTTGTTTCATTTTACGCCTTTTTCCAATAGTATTTCTGTCATATAGGCGGATAGTTTCCTAACCATCGTTCCTGGAGAGTTACACCAGTACTACTACTTCCTCCGCGCTAAACTACCAAAGCATCTCCCTGGGATCGAACCCACGCCAGAGAGGTAACTGGATAAGAAGTCATCGACTCTAACCCCTCGACCACTGGCGATTCAAGAAATGCCGTAAATAATCCTCAAGTGTTGATATTCGGAATGTATCCCAAACTTGTTTTAGCTTGTATGTAATCTTGCTTTGTCACATGACGATCATTTATGCGATCATAAAATGACTCTTTATTGGAAAGTTTATCTTCTCATAGACGTTCTGTATTGTCCAAGTAATCAAAACAAAATATTAGGGGCTTGATAATCGCATCTTTCTGATCCTCATTAAAGAGCTATCTTGTACATTTTAAGGCTTTCTTTCCAGACTTGGCCACGAGACTTGTTGTTACCAACTCATTTAAAATCAGCTTTGAGTAATTGACTAAGTCCAAAAAACCGACATAAACTTACAGTAATGGACACGTAGGTATTAATTGTTTGCAGGATAACCTGTACTTTCCTTTCCCAAACTTGCCGATGTCTTGCATGATTAAACGCCCTACAATTTGACTCGGATTCTGTGCGTAAGAAATAAAAAAATATATATTGCTGCCTTTTTACATAACAAACGTTTATAGATAGCTAAATGCTGTTATGTAATGACCCATAATATTTTATATTTGAAATATCAATTTTTAGATAGCGTTATCTTTAATAAATATTATATCTTTAATAAATATTATAAAATACAAGGTAATAAATTGATACTTAAGATGCACAATAAATGCAAAAGAAAAAACTATATGGCTCCTCACATAGTGTACCTATAAAATCACCGGCAAGAAATTAGTTTGTTAATTTATTCAATTCTATTTTATCATTATATTCTAATATTCTATTATTCGTCTACTGTATTATTCTATTGTTATTTATTTATTACGCTAACATGACTGTGATCCCATCAGTAGTGTCATTCCAGTGGCGAGAGGGAGTTGGGGGCAGGGGCAGTTTCGGTTTAGGGCTTATGACATAATGTTAATCTTTTGAAGTGGGCTTCGAGTGTACTTGAGAGGTAGAATATCCTTTTGAAGTGGTTTGCCAATGTACTTGAAAGGTAGAATATCCTTTTGAAGTGGTTTTCAATGGCACTTGAAAGGCAAAGTGTCCTTTTAAAAGATGTTTAATTAAAAATAAAGATGGCGGATATTTGCATAATTAAAAATAAAGATGGCGGCTAGTTCCGTAGTGAAAAACAAAGATGGCGGTTAGTTTACCTGGCAACCAATGGGGAGAGTGATGCATGAATGAGTGATTATAGGCAGTATGTGTGTGTATTGAAATGTTTTCTCAATAAACAGTATTATCATTATTATAAACGGGTCAGTTTTTACTGACCATCATTAAATTGGAAATGGCTACCGCCGACAGCGTGTCTATATCTTTGAGCAAGACTGGAGAAATTTCACCAGAACGGGAACTTTTTAAAATCTGTGAGGAAAGTGACCTTCAGGGCGGCCGGGCGGTCTCTAGCGACTGCGTGGTTTGCGGCAATAGGCTGCCTTAGAACCGCGTTACTTTCATCGCTCAAATAGTCGCAATATACGGAATAATTATCGTGTCTGCGGTCAATCTTTCGATCAATTTCGGGTCAAATTATAAAATTTGTTTTCAAGTTATAATTTTATGAGTGGATTTATACTCACCTGATAGTACATTACATTAGGATTTATCTCCGCATATTACGTTCAATCCGCCTAATAAAAACCAAGCGTCTAACTACACTGATCATCACATGATCATTAGACGCTCTGTAGAAGAACTACAGAACCCCAGTTTATTCTATAAGTGAAAAACGTGAACCTAGTATAACTTATAGAAATACATCAGGGGAGGAGGGTGGAACCTATCAGGTGAGTATAAATCCACTCATAAAATTATAACTTGAAAACAAATTTTATAATTTCATTTCGTGATTTATACTCACCTGATAGTACATTACATTAGGATAGATTTTTAAGCAGTACTCACCTCCGGAAGTGGTGATGTATTTCTGCCTTCTTCTTGAAGATCATAAAAACAATCTCTGAACAAAAGACTTCTCTCTTTTCTTCTTCTTTTATATTTTAAAACATTCTTCTTCTTGAAGAACCTCTTTCATAAAACTTCTTTATATCCCATATATACATGTATACTAAACAGTACAATTATCCCAAAAATCAATTTCCCACAAAATCCGTCGGGAATAAACTTTGAATTAAAAATATCTTTGGAAAATTTCAATCTTCTAACGTTGAACTATAGTGACGTTTAACTACACAGTGAGAACACTTGGAGTAACTTGTTTCAAATAAAATTTGACGAAGGTGTTTTCTCTTGACCAATCTGCAGCATCGAGAATTGATTTCATTGACGCACCTTTAAAAAGTGCCCATGAGGGACCTAAAGCTCTTGTAGAATGTGCTGTTACACTTTTATGTTTATCTTCATAAGCCTCTTGAATAGTTTTAACAATATATGAAGCCAAAGTTTGTGAAGAAGCTTTAGAATGAGGTACATTTATTGTCAGAAATAAACTTGTTTCATCTTTACCTTTAGAACGTCTGAAAGATTCAGTTCTTTTAAGATAGATAGCAAGTGCTCTTTTAGGATCAAGTAATTTGTTGGTCTTGAAAGCTGGTACAAAAATTTTTGCTGATGAATGACCAGGTCTATCCTGTTTAGCCAAACCTTGTCTGATAAAAGTTACCCCATCTGCCTTCACAGATATAGCTCCTTCTCCTAATTTTAGCGCTTGAAGGTCACTGGCTCTCCTGAATGTCGTGATAGCTATAAGAAAAACAACTTTATATGTTAAAAATTTAATTGATGTTTTTCTCAAAGGTTCAAAAGGATATTTTTGTAGCGCACCAAGAACTTTAGGCAAATCCCATTCAGGCAACAACTTTGTTAGAGGAGGTCTTAAATTGAATACTCCTTTTAATAATCTGATAACATATGGATGTTGACCAATAGGAGTGTTATCTACTGGAGGTAAAACTGCAGATAACATAGAGCGGTAACCTGCTATTGTACGATACTGTAAACCTTTATTGTACAGATCTGATAAAAACTCAGCACAATTATTTAAGGAAGCTGTCAAAGAGTCAATATTCTTTTCACGACACCATATCATAAATTGTCTAAATTTACTGGAGTAATCTTTCTGAGTACCAGTTCTCCAGCTGGCTGTAAGAAGTTTCCTAACTGATTTTGAAAAACCTTTTTCTCTAAACTGTCTGTCGATAGCAACCATGCAGTCAGTTTCAGAACACCTGGATTTGGATGGCATATCTGAGATTTTGGTTGTTGTAACAGATTTGTAACCAATGGAAGACGAAACGGTTGAGCTACCGACAGATTCAATAACTCTGGAAACCATAGGCGTCGTGGCCAGAATGGAGTTATTAGAATCAGTTTGCAATGAAACTGTTTCATATGATGAAGAACTCTGGGAATGAGACAAATTGGGGGAAAAGCATAAGCATACATGTTCTCCCATGAAACTGAGAGAGCATCTATTGCATATGCTTCTTGGTGTGGGATCCAGGCACAGAATATCTGAGTTTTCCGATTGAGGGCTGATGCAAAAAGGTCTATGCTCGGAACACCCCAAATTTGAAATATTGTTTGAACAACTGACTGATTCAGACTCCATTCCGTTGGCTGAATTTTCATTCGACTTAGACTGTCGGGTACTACATTTAATTTGCCTGCGATATGGGCTACTTTCAAATTCATTTGATTTTGTAGAGCAAATTTCCATAAACTCCAAGTTTGGAGACAAAGGTAAGGCGATTTTGTTCCCCCTTGTTTGTTTATATATTGTACTACGGTTGTATTGTCTGACCGTATCATGACATTTTGACCTCTTAACAGATGGCTGAATTTTTTCAAAGCAAGAAACACTGCCTCCATCTCCAGACAATTTATGTGCAGATTCTTTTGGCTTTGAGACCACTGTCCCTGCACTAAATGATTTTCCATGCAAGCCCCCCAGCCTATCATCGAAGCATCTGTTTGGAGAACCTTGTCCGTTTTCCATGGTAGAAAAGATCTGCCCTTGAAAATATTGGCTGGGACTAACCACCACTGAAGGTGACCTATCAAATGATTTGTAACTGGTATTTTGAAATTGAGATCCCGAGAAATGGGTCGCCAATAATGAAGTAGATGTAATTGCACTGGACGCATAAATAACCTTGCATTCGGAACCAGTTCTATACATGATGCCATCAAACCCAGAATTTGTAACAAAATTTTGGCTGTGACCATCTGTTGTTTTTGAATTGCCAGAACAAACTGCACAATTTTGTGATGTCTGTCTGGTGTCGGTGTTACTGTTCCCTTTTCTAAATTGAAACAGCCCCCTATGTAAGTAATTTTCTGAGCTGGACACAGTTGAGATTTTTTGACATTTATTATAAAGCCTAGTTGCATAAGAAGATCCAGCAATCTCGATAGATTTTGAACAAGCTGTATTTTGACTGCATTTAGCCCGAGCCAATCGTCCAAATAGACTGCTAGACGAAACCCCCACTGTTGTCTTACATAAGCTGCTATTACTGTAACCAGCTTGGTGAAAGTTCGAGGAGCAGACTTGGGGCCAAATGGTAGTGCTCGAAATCGATATGCCTTGCCCTGAACAGAAAAACTTAGGTATTTCCTGTGAGGGTAATATATAGGGATGTGCATGTATGCGTCGCTCAAATCTATCGAAATTGCATAATCTCCTTTCTGAACCAAATTTAGAACAGATTTTAAAGACTCCATTTTGAAATGTTGATGTTTCAGATACCTGTTTAGGGGCTTTAAATTTATAACTGGCCTTAGATCTCCAGTTTTCTTTGGAACAAGAAAAAGCGTACTGTAAAAACCTTGTTTGACCTGGTCTGGAGGTATTTCTTCTATAGCATGTTTTTTTATTAATGTATCTACCTCCTGCAGTATAATATCTAATTGTTTTGGGGGGACTCTTGTTTCCAATACCCCATTGAACTTTGGAATTTCTACAAATTCTAACTTGTAACCTTCCTTTATTATATCTAGAACCCATTGGTCTTCTGTTATTTCTAACCATTTTGGATAAAACTGTTTTAGCCTGCCCCCAACAGGTATCTGTGGATGAATCATTAACAAGTCATGTTGATTTGTTACGAAAAGTACTACTTACATTAGATGTTTTAGGCTGTGATTTTACCACCTTAGGTATGGTAAAATTACTACTATTTGGCCTCTGTGGCTGTCTGTAGCTCGGAAATTGACTCCTGGCAGGACGACTTTCAAAAGTCTGATTAGGCAACCGTGGTCTCTTCCACTGATTTGAAGAGGTAGAATCTGGAAACTTCCTCTTGCGCCCTACCTCTGGTAAAAGATCTGATAATTGAGAATTCATCTCTTTCCTATCTTTTAACTTCTTTTCCATACCATCCCCAAACACTCCTGTATGGGACAAAGGAAGTGTCCATAAATGATCCTTAATGTCTCTAAGATCATGTAAGCCTGTGTCAGCTAAAGCTGCCTTTCTTCTTACTAAATGGTGAAAAGCACCACAACGAGAAATTTGATCCAATGACTTTGTAGACATCGCAAAGATATCTCTAACACACTGTATGATTTTGTCTACATTTAGAGAATTCTCCTGTGTAAACGACAATAAATTTCCCAACGCCTGTTGTATGTATAAATTAATAATAATGCCCATACGTGCTGCACATTGACCTTGAAATGCTATCTTCTCAAGAGCTTTGAGAGGTTGTGAATACAGAGATTGAGACTTTGAAGCTGCTTTACTACCATATTTCTTCATCAACAGTGATTCTACTATGGTATCAAGACTTGGAACTTGCAACAAATCTTCTGCGGAGTACCTTACAGGAAAAATCGACTTAAAATGTCTTTATAAGCTGAAATTCTAGAAGAGTCTAAAACCATGGCTCCTTAAGTACTCTAACTTTAACTGTCATCAATAAGCAAGTATCTTTGTCTGGTTTAGTAAGTGCACCAAACATTTGTGCTAACAGTTTTTCTGTCTTAGAACTGTAAAAAGCAAACTTATCTGGCTGCGAAATGCATCAGCGTCTACATTTTCAACACTAACACGGGACCGGATGTCCTCGTCTGAGTTGATGCCTAATTCAGAACTCTCCCTTTCTCCTGGTTGCAAAGAGAGAACATCATCCTCCGGAATATTGTAATCCCTGTTCAATGAGTAAGTAAGTGGTAACAAGGGTCTAATACCGCATGGAATGGTGTTATCCCTCAATCGCATAGGTCTACTCTCACCAGAAGTGACGTTTTTCTGAGTGTCAGAAGTACTGGTCTATGACAGCTTCCGAATTATTCTTGGTCGTCACAATACCCATGATTTAAATTAAGCATGTAAAGAAGAAACTTCATCCTTAAAATCGGTAACATTTTTACGTAAAGAATCTCACTCTTTGTTACTCGCACGTGGAGTGCGTTTCTTTGCCGAAGATGACAAACCGGAAGTTCTAGAAACTGAACTTTCCGATAAATTTTCTTCCACCAAATCAGAAGAAATAGCTTCACTATTCATGATAGAATTAACAAAAAACAAACTTACAATAAAAGTCCAAAATAAAAGTCCTATAATCACACAAGAAAATAGTTTCATAACACGATGTGAACGTTTTGAACGCCGAGAATAAACTGGGGTTCTGTAGTTCTTCTACAGAGCGTCTAATGATCATGTGATGATCAGTGTAGTTAGACGCTTGGTTTTTATTAGGCGGATTGAACGTAATATGCGGAGATAAATCCTAATGTAATGTACTATCAGGTGAGTATAAATCACGAAATGAAATCAAGAACTCTGGATTGCTCTACTCAGCTTGGCCGTCGGCTACGTGCTGCCGAGTCCCGGACTTAAGTACAGAAAAACCAAAGCGACATTTCGGACCAACCCTTAGGGATGAGGGACAGTAATGGCGGAACTGAAACCAAGTTCGAGTATCTCGAGCGAATCTACACGGATCCATCACATCCGGCGAGTTTCAGCGGACCCCGGCGGCTGAAGAGAGAGGTAGACCGAGAAGGCAGATTCAAAATAAGCAGAAAAGAAATAGTTTCATTCCTGGAGTCTCAGGACACGTACAGTACCAACAGACCGGTTCACAGGCGTTTCAAAAGAAATAGGATTATGGTGAGTGGCGTTCATCAGCAGTACGACATGGACCTCTGCGACATGAGTAAACTGAGGCGCTACCGCGGCAACCGGGGAACCCGCTATCTTCTGACCGTAATAGACGTGTTTAGCAGATTTGCATTTGTAAGACCACTTCGCAACAAGACAGGGCAGGTCGTGGCTAAAGCACTAGAAGACATTATGACGTCCGGTTCGAAACCCGAGCGTTGCCGGTCAGACAAGGGCGCCGAATTTAGATGCAAGCCGGTTACCGACTTGCTGCAGAGGCTGGGAGTCAAACAGTACTTCAGTACTTCTGATCTAAAGTGTCAGTCAGTCGAACGCCTGAACCAGACTCTTAAAGGTGCCATTTACAAGTGGTGCTACCAGAACAGATCGTTTGCTTACGTAACGGTACTGGACGAACTGGTCAGAGGATACAATCACCGGGTGCATTCATCTCTCTTTGGACTCAGTCCAAGCGAGGTGAACGAATCCAACCAAGCCAAACTGTGGAATCTGATGTACGTTGCAAAGGCCGGTGGCGAAAAACAAAGAAACCGAATGTTTAAGTACCAGGAGGGCGATCTGGTGAGGGTTAGTTTGGCCAGGCGGACTTTTGAGAGATCTTACATTCAGAAATTCACGTCACAAATATACAAGATACGGGGGCGGGTCTATAGGGAGAACGTGCCGGTCTACCTCTTGATGGATCTAGAGGAGGAGCCAATCAAAACGGCATTCTACGAACCCGAGCTTCAGAGAGTCCGGAAAAACCTAGAGGACGCTAGCGACTGGGAAATTGAAAGAATTCTCAAGAGAAAAAAGTCCGGCAAGGCTCAGGAGATTCTGGTTCGATACCGGGGACTGGGACCCAAGTTTGACAGGTGGCTATCGAGAGCTTCACTAAACAGGAAGAAAAACACTTAAAATCATGGAACAAATGCACGTGGACATATGTAGCATCCGTGTTATTTGTGCCGTGTGGCGGCTGTAAAAAGTCTCCCCGTACATTTAATCAATGATGTTATATTTTCGATCCTTGAAGATCGTTCAGCACGACATTATTGTTGTGCTTGTGGTATTTTTAGTTTCAATTTTTCGGCATTTTCTAGTTGGGTGGTTCCAGTATTCCTACTTGAATGATGTTGAATCACCCTTTGGATATGTTGCCTGCTTTTTAAAATTGTCTTTTGACGTATTATCTGTGATACGCAGGCTTCATAACCTCTGATCCCCTTTCAAAATTCCATTTTATTTAGTTCCGCCCATTGTTTTCTCGTTTAGGACACACGCTTTTTATTACTTGGGGACCATACGTCGCTTTTCATGGAATGGCACGGAAGTGTCACATTGAAGGTTCCATGATAACCGCCGTATGAACACATCTGCGGATGTTTCTAAATTCAAAATTTTAGATTCGCTAGAGCTTGTAACAACGTAAAGGATTTCAACGAGCGGAATATTTTTATTACCAGCAAGCTTCTAAAACAGGGCTACCGCTATCATAAATTACGGATATATTTTACTAAATTTTACAATCGTAACTTTGATTTAATTTCTAAATTTAATAGTGATTTAAAAACTTCTGCGACAAGGGATTAGCCAGCCTGGTTTTTATGGCGATGTGGTTTACAAACTTCGTAAGATTTTGGGTCATGGTAATTTTTCTGCTGTTTTTACTAAAATCATTAAACGTTTTATTAAAAGAGGTTATGACCCTACTATTTTAAGACATACTGCATGTTTAGTGTTCAACCATTTTACAGTTGGACACTACGCTTTCCTCTTTTGATTGCATCTGACGGACCAAGTGGGAGACTCTATGATGGATAGTTCGTAAAGCCCTTTGGGACTGAATTGTCTTAATGTTCGTCTTCTGCCTTGCTTCGTCGGGCCCTTGTAGGTGATTTTCTTGTTGCTCTGTCTTCCTTTAAGCCATTGAGTACTTTTGTTATGGTCATTGGGTTTACTTTTATATGTTTCTACATGATCATTTTAGTGTTTTACTTATTTAACCTTTTGTAACCATGACAACTGTTAGAACTTCACTTGGCGGGGATTTATTTTATTTACACTGTCTCGTTTATAGGAACATGGTGGGGCTAAGAGCGAGGTTTGGTGCACCATTAACCGGTTTAAACTCCCCAGCAGTCATTATTATGCTGCTGACCGTTCCAAGGCGGCGCCCCACTGTGTTCCTCTGATGTATGTCTATGTTGTTTCATACTGTTTTGGTGACACTTTTGCTTGTGTCCCTTGTTGTTTTCTCGTCTACGGTAAGTATCTTCCCCATTGCCTCATTGCCTCTAGTTTTTATTTCTTTGATTAACCCCCCCTTCCCCCGGTCTCCTGTCCCCTTCCCCTTTGTGGGCCTATTATTATTTTCTTTGAATTCCTAATCAGTTACAAATTATTTATCATTTAATGATTAACGTGTCGTTGCCCTGTCCTTTTTATGTTTGGGGTCCACCTGGGCTCCTTGCCATTGGTTCTTGTTGCTGGGTCATATGGGGGTTGCGTTCATCGAACGCCGCCTTTCCTTGTTGATCTTGTTTTTCATATTTCGCACTGATCTTTACCCTTTCAACGCGCGTTGCGACTTCCGGGTGGCGCTAGACGAAACACTTATCTTAAAAGACCGACGATGGTTCGTGGCT